GAGCAATTCTAAGTGCACAGTTTTAGTCACTAACACCGACACTCTTCGAGAATATTGGGTGTGCATGGCTTGGTACGCCCAGCCTATCCACGGGCGCTTCAAGGCCAATTGGAGATGGCCTGTGACATGAATCTCAACCAGCACCACAGTGTCAGCCCGATAAGGCATTTAAACAGTGTTGAATGCTTTAGTTTGACGTGGATCCCGGGCACATTCCATGTTGGAAATTTCACTGATGCCATATGGTGCTGTGTAACATATCCGCAGGTAACCGACAGCGAGACACCCATGGCAGAGATACTACAAGATTTGGCCCAGACTTGGAGAAACATACATAGAGCAACTACAAGACATATCGCAATGTACCAATTGATCTGATAACTGCAAACTATAACAAACTGAAATACAAACTCTACCATTTCCCCTACCCCCACCTCACCCAAACCTGGTGGGGGAATAAATCCCATAACAGGCTATCATAAAACACAGTCCTAAGGGGACAAACTCTTGCTGGAGAGATGTATATAGTGAGGAACAGAAGTATTTGAAAACCCTGCGATTTTGCAAGTTCTCCCACTTAGAAATCATGGATGGGTCTGAAATTCACATTGTAGGTGCATTCCCACTCTGAGAGACAGAATTAAAAAAAAAAATTCAGGAAATCACATTGTATGATATTTAAAGAATGTATTTGTCTTGCACTGCTGAACATAAGTATTTGAACACCTAAGAAACAGCAAGAATTCTGGCTCTCAAATACCTGTTACTGTGCCTTTAAAAAGTCCACCTCCACTCCACTCATTAATCTAACTTATTAGCACCTGTCTGAGCTCTTTAAAGACACCTGTCCACCCCACAGTCAGACGCCAACTACTACCATGGGCAAGACCAGAGAGCTGTCAAAAGACACCAGAGACAAAATTGTGGACCTCCACAAGGCTGGAAAGGGCTACGGGGCAATTTCCAAGCAGCTTGGTGAAAATAGATCAACTGTTGGAGCAATTGTTAGAAAATGGAAGAGACTAAAGACGACTGTCAGTCTCCCTCGGACTGGGGCTCCATGCAAAATCTCAACTCGTGGGGTATCACTGATGATAAGAAAGGTGAGGAATCAGCCCAGAACTACAAGGAGGAGCTGGTCAATGACATGAAGAGAGCTGGGACCACAGTTTCAAAGGTCACTGTCGGTAGCACACTACGCCGTCATGGTTTCAAATCATGCATTGCCCGGAAGGTTCCCCTGCTCAAGTCATCACATGTCCAGGTCCATCTGAAGTTTGCCAATGACCATCTGGATGATCCAGAGGAGGCATGGGAGAAAGTCAGATGAGACCAAAGTAGAACTTTTTGGTCTAAACTTCACTCGTCGTGTTTGGAGGAAAAAGAAGGATGAGTTGCATCCCAAGAACACCATCCCTACTGTGAAGCATGGGGGTGGTAACATCATGCTTTAGGGGTGCTTTTCTGTGAAAGGGACAGGACGACTGCACTGTATTAAGGAGAGGATGAATGGGGCCATTTATTGTGAGATTTTGAGCAACAACCTCCTTCCCTAAGTCAGAGTATTGAAGATGAGTCGTGGCTGGGTCTTCCAACATGACAACGACCCGAAGCACACAGCCAGGATAACCAAGGAGTGGCTCCGTAAGAAGCATATCGACGTTCTGGAGTGATCTAGCCAGTCTCCAGACCTAAATCCAATAGAACATCTTTGGAGGGAGCTGAAACTCTGTGTTCCTCAGCCACAGCCCCGAAACCTGACAGATCTAGAGGAGATCTATGTGGAGGAGTGGGCCAAAATCCCTGTTGCAGTGTGTGCAAACATGGTCAAGAACTACAGGAAACGTTTGACCTCTGTAATTGCAAACAAAGGCTTCTGTGCCAAATATTAACACTGCTTTTCTCGGGTGTTCAAATACTTATGTTCAGCAGTGCAAGACAAATAAATTCTTTAAAAATCATACAATGTGATTTCCTGAATTGTTTTTTAAATTCTGTCTTTCAGAGTGGGAATGCACCTACAATGTGAATTTCAGACCCCTCGATGATTTCTAAGTGGGAGAACTTGCAAAATCGCAGGGTGTTCAAATACATCTGTTCCTCACTGTAGGTAGCAGAACACTAGGTGCTAGTGTCAGGAAGTGGCTGGTCATAGTAATGCTGGTTAGCCATGAGATCAGCCGCTCAGTGATGCAGAATCATTCGAGCCCGGTTGGCAGAGGGTGGGGATGAGGAGCACATGAGTGGGGGGAGAAGGTAACATGGTTTCAAAGTGCGATGAGCAGGATAGGAAGTTAGGTACCTGGACCATGATGTGGGATGAAAAATAACCATAATAGGGAACAAGAAAAAGAGACCAGGGGCCTCAAAGGCACGCTGTGCTGTAAAAGTTCCTGAGAAAAAGGGTCAAATGACAAAGGTAGAGTCCCCTTCCGACTCCTTTGGTGTAACAGGAGACATACGAACTCAGAATCGTACACGGGGGACCAACCAGGGCGACTGCAATGCTCCTCATGTTAGTCAAGCCAGGATGAGGCTGACTCCGGGTCCTCAAAGAAGTGTACTCGGTCTTCGCCCACCACCCAAAGGCGGCCAGGAAAGAGCATGGCATTTTTTAGGTGTTTAGCGTGGAGGCGCTGTTTAACATCCAGGAGGTGAGATCGCTGCCGCTGAATCTCAGCCAAGAAGTCAGGGAACACCGATATCTTCACATTCTGGTAGGGAATGTTGCCTCTCTCTCTCTAGATAATCTTAACACAGCATCTCGATCTCTAAAGTTAAGGAGTTTCGCCATTAAAATACGAAGGGGTGCCCCCTCCGGAGGTTGGCGGGCCAGCATCCGATACGCCCTTTCCACTACCAGTGTGGTCGAGAAGGACTTTCTACCAAAAATGGTGCTGAGCAAATTTTCCAAAAACGTGGCCGGGTTCCTGCCCTCCGGAAGGCCAATAAAGCGGAGGTTACATAGGCGGGACCGGTTCTCCAGATCATCCTGTTTCTAGGCGTGCTGTTGCAATTGGCACTGCATGGCCTCTAGTGGTGTGTCGCAGAGGGTGGAGAGTGTCTTCTGCCTGGCTTATTTGAGCCTCGGTCTCAGTGACTCTGTCACGGAGTTTGTGCAGGTCTTGGTGTATAAGAGATATATCTAACTTCACCTCCTCTATTTTCATCAATGACGCCTGACAGGAGGATATTGCTTCCAGTACTCTCGCCATGTCCACAGTAGGAGCTTCTGAGGCAGGAGAGGCACCGTCGTCCTCTGGAGGGCCCCATTCCTGTCTCCGAAATTTGTCCAGGGAAAGAGTGCCAACTGCTGCCTTCCGAGGAGGTGACATAGTGTAAAAGTCCAACAAGGGTCCAGGTAGATTCGAAAATGCAGGATAGCAACTATATGACACTCAGGATAGCAGGTAAGGATATTGTCTAAAGCGGAGCTCAGTACCCGTACGTCCTACTCCATCTTCGTCCAGGCCACGCCCCCTGAACTTAGGGGTGAAACAGAACATTTTCTTTCAGAAAAAGTCCTGGTGCCCCAAGCCTCCTAAGATAGGCAACAAACCTATTTCCCAATGAAGGGGCATCCCCACTGTGTAGGGAGGGAGACTTGGCGACCATCAAAATGTCTTTGATGTAGGGGTTTATAACTTTGTGTCCACAGACTACATGTTGGAGTTTTGTGTCTTGCCTGCTTCACACTTTGTCATCAGATGTACATGTTGCACCTGACAAAAGTGCAGCCTTGTTTGTTGTACTGGACCAATTGCATCCAGAGGGTTATAGCCCATGTTATAGAACCAGAAATGTTTCACTGTTACTATTCCAACCTGTTCATAGTGCCCAAGCTTTAGCTTGTATTCATTTAAGCCTTAGCAGGTGCCAGCCTGGAAAGTCCTACAGGTGGCTCTGTAAGGCCCGTGCTACAGTCAAATACCTGGCAGTACAGCCACCGAATGCGACCCATTCAATTGCACTTGGTTGCAGGCAGTGAAGTGGTGACATATCAGCATGTGCTGCTGCCACCTGTGCAAACTGAGCTTAAGAATTAACTCTCCTGTGTCCTGTGATTTTTTTTTTTTTTTTTTTAACAAAACTGGAGTTTTGAGTTGCCTGTAAAATCCCTTTACGACATCACAGGACAGGATGCAGATCCCTCCCCTCTGGTTTCACTCTGTATTGCTTGCTGACAAAATTGAGGGAATGCTGGGAATTAGTCTAAGAATTAACTCTCTTGTGTCCTGTGATGTGCTCTAAGAAATTGATTTTTCAGGAATGTAGAATATCGGTTTTGTGTACAAATGGATGGAGAACATGTTTAGTGATGGGTGGAATAGGTAATTTTATTTTTTGTGTGTAGTTTTTTTAACATGCAACACAAAAAAAAAACATTTGTTTTAATATAGAGAGGAGGGACTGTATCTGAAGTTTTTTTCCCTGCAAACTGTATAAAAATTAGGTGCTTTGAAGTTAGTGATCATGCAATCATTTCTTCCCCACTTTGCCTATATCTATGTTTGATAAGTTGGCAAAGTGAGGATAGCTGCCATAAAGCAACAGTTAGAAGAAGAGATTGCTGGAGGTACTGCTGTAGGATGTAAAAATGGTTATTCATACAGTCTTCACCATCGCCCTCAACCTGCATAGATTCATGGTCTCATGTTGTTTCTACTGATGATTACCATTGTTACTGCACTGTGCCTTAAAGTAGCATTAAACCTTCTGTTCATAATGCTTCTTTACATCAACCAGCACTGTACACATCTTGAACCCACTTCCCCAAACTTTTGGCTAAGATGCATGCACTGTGCTCATCAGTGCTTTAATCACTCTGTGTTGCACAGTAAGTCTGAAATGCAGGCACTGTTCTGCTTGAGTTTCTGCCGTGTCTGTGCAAGGGGCATCAGCACATGTAATTATAGTCAGGTTTGGACACACAGAGAGCATTATTCCAGTAATAATGGTATGTGCTAACGTTTTTACCAAGACCTGTTTTTGTTTTACAGTTATGGTTCAAGAAGACTACCACAGTCAGAACCCATACCACAACGCAGTGCATGCTGCTGATGTGACTCAGGCCATGTACTGTTATTTAAAGGAACCCAAGGTAATAATCTCCTTTCTTGGGGGTACAGATGAAAATACAGTGCTTTAGAGTTCTTTAATTCCATAAACGGTTTTGGTAGTCTTGCCATTTTTTCTCTAATGCCTGTCTTACTGTCTCTTTCAGCTTGCCAAGTCTCTCACTCCATGGGATGTCCTGCTGGGTTTAATTGCAGCTGCAACACATGATCTGGATCATCCTGGTGTAAATCAGTCTTTTTTAATAAAAACAAACCACTACTTAGCAACTTTATATAAGGTAAGTGAGTGTAAGGGGTTTCTGCCTTAGGTGATTGAATCTTTTTTCATAACATCTTCTATAATTGCCTGTACTGAAGAATTCAGACTGTAAGAGGGAGGGACAGTACTTGTAGAAAGTAGGTGTGTGTGTGTGTAAATCATTTATTGTCCAATGGCATAAAATGACTATATTTTCAATGTAACCTGGTCACAATGACAATGCTGTTTTACCTGTGCCATTGTGACTTTCAGAAGGTACAGTGAATGGTGCCAGTGCTCATTGTGAATAATTATTTACTTACTGAGTTTTGTATGCTGTGTTGCATGTGGTATTAGCTAATTACAGTGCTCAGCATAAATCTAACATATTTGTCAGAAAACCTTTATTTTCCTTTCAGAATCCACATTTTCTATGAGACCCTATACTACAAAATACTTCCGCAAATGCGGGCCATTGATTGCAAACAAGATTTGCTAATTTGCACACACAAAAAAGTATTTTTCCTAACAAATTCATTCAAGACCATGTTGCAAAAATGAATACACCCCAATGAAAGTCTTAGGAGCAAAGATAAATTTTAGATAACAAAAACCTAGTTAACAAGAATTCAACTACAGGTGAGTCTAATTATTCATTAAACAGGTGTCCAGCAGACAGTTGATTATAAAAGGGCATTACTTAACAAAGAAAACCCCTTCCCATTTTATGCTGTCATCAATGGCACCACATGGAAGAGAAATTTCACAAGGCCTGAGAAAGAAAATCATATCTTTACACAAGAAAGGTGAAGGCTTCAAAAAGATCAGCAAAGCTTTACTTATCAGTCAGAATACTGTAGCAAAAGTGATGCAAAATTTTTTGTTGGAACTGTAAGCATCTCACGGAGACATCCAGACCATCCACAGACAGGAGTATCTTCTGATGAGAAGGGTTGAAGAAACGTGCCATGCAAGTTCACTGCTGTCAGCTAAAGAAGTAGAAAGCCAAACTTGGGTGATTGTTTCCCGTGACACAATGGGGTGTACACTGCAGAGGAATGGCATGCATGGGTGTCGTCCACGAAAGAAGCCTCTCCTAAAGCCCATGCACAAAAAAGCTTGCCTTGAGTTTGACAGGGCCCATGCTGAAAAATAAGATCACTGCGATTCTGTACTCTGGAGTGATGAGACTAAGATAAATGTTTTTGGAACTGATGGCTTCAAAACTGTATAGTGTCGCAAAGGTGAGGAGTACAAAGAAAAAAATGCATGGTGCCTACAGTGAAACGTGGTGGCAGTGTCCTTCTGTGGGGATGCATGAGTTGTGCTGGTGTTGGGAAGCTGCATTTCATTGATGGTATCATGAATTCACAGATGTACTGCTCTATATTGAAAGAGAAAATATTTTCATCACTCCATGCCCTTAGTCATCGTGCATTTTTCCAACATGACAATGATCCAAAACACACATCTAGGCCACTGTTGCATTTCTGAAGAAGAACAGGGTGAAAGTGATTCAGTGGCCAAGTATGTCTCCTGATCTGAACCCAAGCGAACACCTATGGTGAATTCTGAAGAGACAAGTTGAGCATCACTCTCCATCCAGTATCCAGGCTCTAAAAGAGGTTGTTCTTGAAGAATGGAAAAAAAATAGAAGTTGCAATATGTCGCCAACTTGTTCATTCCATGCATAGAAGATTTGGTGCTGTCCTTACAAATCATAGAGGCCAAACAACAAGATACTAGATGTAGTAGTTTTTGTTGTGGGGTGTATTCATTTTTGCATCAACTAATTTGAGTAAAACTGAAGATTTTGTAATCTAAGTTATATTATTAACCTTACTTTCTTGTAATGAACTAAACAAATGTTCTGTAAAACTCCGTGTTGTCAAAATTTTGGAAATTGTTCTTGTGTTCATTGAGATATTGATTAAAATCTTACTTTTCAAAAGGGGTGTACTCATTAATGCTGAGCACTGAATGTCCAATTTTTAACCCTTTATATAGCTGTTAACCTGAAATTTACCTACAATATCAAATAGGAAAAAAGCTTTCTTTCTTTAAAGTCCAGTGAAACCTCAGACTGCTTCCAGTGTTTCATAATCCTGTATCCTTGTCCTTTTGAGTTTTTCATCGCTCCATTTTATTGGATTGCTGTTCATTTGATAGATTAGTAAATCAGAATAAATTATGTTAATGGACTTTTTGTTGCTCACAAGTATGTGTATGCATTCCATGTTGGCACATTCAATTGGATGTTTAATGTTTTGTTACATTAGTGGACTGCTAATTGCAGCTTTAGACTAACAAAGGTTTAAAGGTTATTACAAAAAACAACTAATTTTGGAGAAAAACCTTAATGTCCTGGCCACGCCTGTGCATTACAGCCACATAGACTTCTTTGGGACTCTGTCGTGAGACCATAGAGTAAAGGTGACGGCCTAATTAAGGTTTTTAGGGCTGTACTGCATGGGCACGGCCAAGACAGCGAGACTTGTGGCACTTGATGTAGACAGTCTTGAGTAAGATTAACTTTGCTTCCTCTTAATACCATGGTGACCAACCTGTGGCCTGGGTTGCAGCATGCCGCACTTTGTCTGCACACCTTGGAGCTCCTGCAGACATTCAGTTTCCCTGTTACCTTGTAGTTATGGTGATCACTTAGAAATTTCATGTAATGTATCTCCAGTCTGTTACCTGAAGTATGTCCCCAGTCTTAAAGTGGTAGTAAAGTGTCGCCCCCCCCCCCCCATAGAAAAAAAAATCCCCTCAAGTTAATTTCATAATGTTCTCGTATGCAACGTATAGTAGCACATTATGAAAGACTTCAAAATGAAGCCCACCAGTGGCACACTGTCACTCCATCTTCACCCGGCCTTCCATCCAGGTTTGCGGGCTCTGCCCATTTGAATGGCTGAGCTGCGATGACATCACTCCCGTGCATGCTTAGGAGATATTCCTTGTACCTACAGGTAAGCTTTATTATAAGCTTACCTGTAGGTACAAGTGAGCAAGTGGAGTTTACTACCGATTTAAACTCCTTTTAGCAGTTTTTGACCATCTCCAGTTGCATGTCTGACCACTTTCTGTAGCATTACATTCAGTGATTTTTTTTTTTTTTGTGGTCCACTTAGTTTTATCAGGGGCTGCACTTGAGGCTTTCTGTATTAAAGTTGATTGCCACTGTTTCCAAAGCTACATACAGACACATAGGAGTGCAAATCCTTCTGTGATGGCTGAATCCCTAGCTGTTCTGACACACTTATCCTTGGCACTTCTTGATAGTGATGAAACTTGTCTGTCCCTGCTTCAGTCTTACACATTTTTTTTAAATGGTGTGACTGCGCATCATAGTACTAGACCAGTGGTTCTCAACCTTTCTAATGCCGCGACCCCTTAATACAGTTCCTCATGTTGTGGTGACCCCCAACCATAAAATTATTTTCGTTGCTACTTCATAACTGTAATTTTGCAGTGGGAGGAGTAGTGCCACATCATTGGTGTCAGTGGAAGGAGTAGTGCCCCATCACTGATGTCAGTGGGATGAATAGTGCCCCATCGTTGGTATCAGTGGGAGGAATAGTGCCCCATCACTGGTGTCAGTGGGAGGAATAGTGCCCCATCACTGGTGTCAGTGGGAGGAATAGCGCCCCATCGTTGGTATCAGTGGGAGGAATAGTGCCCCATCGTTGGTGTCAGTGGGAGGAATAGTGCCCCATTGTTGGTGTCAGTGGGAGGAATAGTGCCCCATCGTTGGTATCAGTGGGAGGAATAGTGCCCCATCGTTGGTATCAGTGGGAGGAATAGTGCCCCATCATTGGTGTCAGTGGGAGGAATAGTGCCCATCATTGGTGTCATGGGAGGAATAGTGCCCCATCATTGCTGTCAGTGGGAGGAATAGTGCCCCATCATTGGTGTCAGTGGGAGGAATAGTGCCCCATCATTGGTGTCAGTGGGGGGAATAGTGCCCCATCATTGGTGTCAGTGGGGGGAGTAGTGCCCCATCATTGGTGTCAGTGGGGGAGAGTAGTGCCCCATCATTGGTGTCAGTGGGGGGAGTAGTGCCCCATCATTGGTGTCAGTGGGAGGAGTAGTGCCCCATCATTGGTGTCGGCTCCATCACTGGGAGTGGGGGGAGTAGTGCCCCATCATTGGTGTCAGTGGGGGGAGTAGTGCCCCATCATTGTGTGTCAGTGGGGGGGAGTAGTGCCCCATCATTGGTGTCAGTGGGGGAATAGTGTCCCATCATTGGTGTCAGTGGGAGGAATAGTGCTCCATCACTGGTGTCAGTGGGGGGAGTAGTGCCCCATCACTGGTGTCAGTGGGAGGAATAGTGCCACATCATTGGTGTCAGTGGGAGGAATAGTGCCCCATCATTGGTGTCAGTGGGAGGAATAGTGCCCCATCATTGGTGTCAGTGGGAGGAATAGTGTCCCATCATTGGTGTCAGTGGGAGGAATAGTGCCCCATCATTGATGTCAGTGTGGTGGAGGGGAGAATAGTGCCCCATCATTGGGGTCGGGGGGGGGGGGGGGGAATCGTTAGTCAGTGTCCCATCGTTGGTAGTGTCATTGATGTCAGTGGGGGAGGAATAGTGCCCCATCATTGGGTGTCAGTGGGAGGAATAGTGCCCCATCATTGATGTCAGTGTGTGGTGGAGGGGAGAATAGTGCCCCATCATTGGGGTCAGTGGGGGGGGGGAAATGGGGTCGGGGGGGGGAAATAGTGTCCCATCGTTGGTGGTAGTCAGTGGGGGGAGGAATAGTGCCCCATCGTTGGTGTCAGTGGGAGGAATAGTGCCCCATCATTGATGTCAGTGGGGGGAGGAATAGTGCCCCATGTTGGTATTAGTGACAGCCTGGGCTCGCTCTCTCACTTACCTGTCAGCTGTCTTCCTTCTCTGGCCGCTCTCCTCTTCACTCGCTCCGGCAGCTCCCTCGATCTTCTTTGATGTACGCGCGCTGCCGCTCGGCTCCTCCTCTCCAAGCTCCACCTCCTCGCCGGTGATTGGCCGCCTGTGTGCCTCTCCTGAGCTACAGTTCCGGTGGCCAATCAGCGGCGAGGAGGCGGAGCTGCTGAGCGATCCCGGAGGTGTGGCCAGGTGACAGGAGCAGCGTATCATCCCGCCCCACACATCGCCGGAGAGAGGAGCGGTGTCTCGGTTCCTAAGACCGTCGGAAATATGTGTTTTCCGATGGTCTTAGGCGACCCCTGGGAAATGGTCGTTCGACCCCCAAAGGGGTCGCGACCCCCAGGTTGAGAACCGCTGTACTAGACCAAGAAGAATGTGTGTGTGTGGGTGGATTGGTAATGGCAGACCCCAACACTACCCAGAAGTATTGGAGCTTTGCCTGCCTGAATGGTTCATCAATAAGAATGTGGTTTGAAATGGTTCTGCACCACCTCTAGCTGTTTACGCTTTATTACTGCAACAGTTTATTTAAGTAGACGCTCCCTTTCTATTTATAGAGGATATACTGCAGTGTAATTTGTTTTGCTTCGTTTAGGGGCAGTTTATAGGGAATTGTTTGGCAGCAGAATAATTGGTATGTGGTATATGATAACATAGCTGAAGTTCAGTGTTCTACTCAACAGTGTTCCGTAATATAGAAATAATAGTATTAAGTATATAATGTAGCAAGTCTGTGCTATTTGTTTTTTTTTTACTGCTTGTCTGTTTGCATTTTAGAATACCTCAGTATTAGAAAACCACCACTGGAGGTCAGCAGTGGGCTTGTTGCGAGAATCTGGTTTGTTTGCACACACGTGTTTGGAAGAAAGGTATGTTACTAGTATTCTTCATTCTAGTTGGTTAATGTGAAATGCTTATGTCCCTCACATTATTCTGTGATATTCAGAGCATCAGTTAACTTTGCAAGAATATTACCAGCACAAGCTGGATATATCTGTGTAAGTTTAATATCTGTTGCGCATTGCTGAAAGTTTGTATTTTTTCTGTTTCACTATTAACTGACTAAATTTTTATATGGATTACACTGCAACGCCAGTGTTTGTTAGAAGCTTCTCTGCCAGAAAAACAGGGTTACGTTCCACAACTGTCATCACCCTGCTCATTGAGAATACCTTTACTGGTCCCTGGTATTTTCCGTGGACAGGGAAATGACCATTGCCTTGGCCAAACTGTGAAGGCAGAGAAATTTGGGCCCTGGTAACAAACTGAAACTGAGGGACACAGTAGAAAAACTGAGATAGTGGGCATCTTATTGTGTCTGTAGGTGGGAAATTTATGGTGCAAAAAAAAAATATTATAGATTTATAAAATTGGAAGAAAAGAGGGATTTGATGGCAATTCAATAATACATTTGTGACACTTTTTTGGCAGTATGGTTGCCAATTTCACAATGTGTTCCTATGGCTGTAAAAATTCAAGAAGAAATTACTACCAGTTTGTAGATAAAACTGGATGCAATAAAGATCATGTCTATGTTCGCATACAGAGACCAGTTAGTGTTCAGTTTGGGCTGGGCTGTCTAGCGGTTAAGGAATTCGCTCATTGTCAATCAAAAGGGAGACAGACCTGCAGGGAAGCTAGTCTTTCAGAATTCTCATCATACTCTGTCCCCTCAGCAGTAAAACCTATTGGCTACCATGCCTATCTACATGGCAAGAGGAGTGGATGGACAGGGAGCTCACAGGGAGTGTTACTAAAATGAGATCAGGGTATCCGATATGGACACTCCAGCTTCTGTGCCAGCCTTCATGTGACAGATTAATATATTTTTTTCCCTTCCTGTATGTGAATCTGTCATAAGGCTGGACAAAATTCAGAAAGAGAGTATACACTTTTTCATGTATTTCAGACCTTGTAAAGTTTGTAGTCTGGGGTTGAACATTAAACAATGCCATTTTTTCATGGACATTACCACCCTGTTTTATTTGGTTATGTGCGTGTGTTTCTAATTTGTGATGACTGTTATATGTACACTGCTCAAAAAAATTAAAGGAACACTTTTTAATAAGAGTATAGCATCAAGTCAATTTAAACTCCTGGGATATTGATCTGGTCAGTAAAGTAGCATAGGGGGTTGTTAATCAGTTTCAGCTGCTTTTGGTGTTAATGAAATTAATAGGTGCACTAGATGGGCAACAATGAGATGACCGCCAAAACAGGAATGATTTTACGGATGGAGGCCACTGACATTTTTATCCTTACTCATCTTTTCTGACTGTTTTTCACTAGTTTTGCATTTGGCTAGGGTCAGTGTCACTGCTGGTAGCATGAGGCGATACCTGGACCCTACAGAGGTTGCACAGGCAGTCTTAACTCCTCCAGGATGGCACATAAATACGTGCCACTGCCAGAAGGTTTGCTTTGTCTCCCAGGACAGTCTCAAGAACATGGAGGAGATTCCAGGAGACAGACAGATACTCTAGGAGAGCTGGACAGGGCCGTAGAAGGTCCTTAACCCATGAGCAGGACCGGTATCTGCTCCTTTGTGCAAGGAGGAACAGGATGAGCACTGCCAGAGCCCTACAAAATGACCTCCAGCAGGCCACTGATGTCAATGTCTCTGACCAAACAATCAGAAACAGACTTCATGAGGGTGGCCTGAGGGCCCAACATCCTGTAGTGGGCCCTGTTCCCTGTCCAGCACAATAGAGCTCGATTGCCATTTGCCATTGAACACCAGAATCATCAGGTCCACCACTGGTGCCCTGTGCTTTTCACAGATGAGCGCGGTTTCACTCTGAGCACATGTGACAAACGTGAGAGGGTGAGTTTATATAATAATAATAAAAAAAAAATTCAATGTTTCATTAGTTTTTTTGTTTTTCAGGCAACAAATGGAAAGCCAGTTGGGTTCCATCATTCTTGCTACAGACATTAGTCGGCAAAATGAATACCTGTCACAGTTCAGAACCCATCTAGATAAAGGTGACTTATGCCTGGACAATGCTGGTCATCGCCATTTCATCCTGCAGGTATTCATAAATTGTTTATATTAGTTCACCTTAAAGTTCCATTTATGTCATGGCTTGACAAATTTGCTTTGAATCTAAGAGCCAGCTAAAAAACTTAGGAGCCAGGTTTTTTTTTTTTTTTTTTAAGCAAAGCGTGGTTTGTCAGCTCCAGGCCAAAGCAACTTTTGGGCGACACGCTTCATGCAATTTGCTGCATGACAGTCATGGCAAAAATTGCACCACGTTTTAGGTGCCATTGAAAATGGTGGCACCTGAACCTGCATCAAGTGATCACAGCCATTCTGCCACAATACAAAAATGCCCAGCTGTGAATGGAACCACCCTGGTTCGCACATCTGCAGTTCTGGAGGCATATCCAAATTCACAGATTTGCACGACAGGCTAGATATTATATGTTCCTATTGAGGTGGTTCACACAGAATCGATCCACACACATTGTGTTTTGAGGGCCATTACAAAAAGGGTCCTGTGCCAGTTTGTAGCGGTGCGTTCCAGACTCACAAGTGATAAGTGGCAAGCGGAGATAAGTGTTCACATAGGATTGCTATTGAGAGGAGTTTTTGCATTGAAGACAATGGGAGTCATTTTTGCCTTGCAGTCAATGGGACACAATTTTTGCATTGAAGGCAGTGGGAGGTAGTGTGTGAACCCAGGCGCAAGGATGCAATTTCTAATAGCCATGGCCTGGGATTTGCCTTGGAAAAAAAAAAAGCTTAAGTGAAAAACCCAATTCACACAAATAGAAAGATACTGCAGCTAGGCAGCGGTAAGTGCACACTATGTGCTGCAGAGCTACTCATATATAAAACCTGCCCAAAATGTCTGTAAAAAGTATTCCCTGTTTTCTTCTCGATTTGATCCTTTGATAATGTATGATGGCAAATAAGGAACTCTATGCTATGTAGCTCTTGGAAAACAAATGTCTTAATCATACAGTACAGGACACAGGTTGAGTATTCATAATACAAAAATGGAAGCAGGGTATCCAGATCTGTCCAACCTTATTAAAACCTTGGTACCCAAACCCCACACCATGGGGCTAGTGTTAATGTTGCTACGGGCATTGGATCCTGTACGGTTGCTCACCTGTGTATACTTAAAATTCAATGCAATATTGCAATTTTGAGGCTTTCTGTACAGTTGAGAAGAGATGGCATTTCAGGCTTGTTTGATTGGCTCACTGAACTGGCCAGACGTTGGCTCTAAGATACAAGTTTGATTTTGGGCATTCCTCAAAAATGTCAGTTTTGGTGAGATTTTCCTAAACTGTTAATCACTTCTGAGGGAATGCAGACCCTGCCACTCTTTTCATTAGAACCCTGCAAGGGCATCAGCTGATCAAAAATGAAAAAAAAATCACTCCCATTCAGAATCAGTCCTATATAAGACATGATCTAACAAAAAGTGATTCTTTCAAACCAGAAACAGGTAGGACCCTGCAACAAAACTTTACACTCAACCATTCAGACCTTAGCCTCAGGAAAATGACCAGGAACACATCACATCAATGGTCACACACTTTGCTTTCATTTCTGGCTAGAGTCCTTATATTATACTCAGATGCTTGAATCTCAAACCCAGCCTTAACAATAGAGAAATCTTTCCTTCCTTATCATTGGAAAGTGAGAACACCAGATGCCAGTGTTTCAGGCTTGAGAGCAGTGTTCCAGTCCCTTGGTCATAAGTGGAAACAAAGCTCCCCATCAACATCCTGGAGCTGAGAGCAGTAAAGATGACTCTGCAGTACTAGACCCCTCCTTTAGCAAGGACACCATGCATGTGACTGCTATGTCCTACATCAGCCACCAAGGGGACACCAGGAATCCTACAGCTTTGAAGGAAGCAAGTCAGACAGTCTTGCTGTCCAGCAATCTCTTCAGTCCACATCCCAGGAGCAGATAACTAGAAAGCGGATTACCTAGGCTGCCACTACCCAGACCAAGGGGAATGGAGCCCTTCAACATGATATGTCTGAGATGAAGGACCCTGTATGTGGAAGTCCTGGCCTCCCTATTCAACAAACGTCCTCTGTTTATGGCCGGGATCAAGGATCCTCTAGCACTGGCATTGGATCCCTTGATAATCCCCTGGTCTTAGTTTAGCCTAATCATGCCTTTCCTCCAGTGTGAGGTGTACCTCGTCTGTTCCACAAAATAAATCAAGAGCAAACAAAAGATTCTCATTGCACCAAACTGGCGAAGAGAAGAACCTGGTGTGCAGACATACTTGGGCTACTAGGAGATGACCCTTGGCCTCTCCCCAAAACATTGTCTCAGGGGGCCCTCTATTCTCAATCACTGGCTTTAAAGGCATGGCTGTTGAATCCCAAGTCTTAAGACACATAGGAGTCTTGGAATCTGGCAACTGCCAGAAGGAAGTTCTTCTATTATAGTACCTGGAAATCCTTCTTTGCATGGTGTGAACACAGGCACTTCAGTCCTAGAGATTACTCTTCCTTGTCAAAACCTTTATTCATGTTGTGTCTCAGATCAGGCTCTCCTACAGCACCATGTGGTTCCTTAGGATTTCCAATGGTTTGTCTGCCCTACAGAAATCATCCTTAGAGCCCATCAGGTATATCCCCTCTTCTGCAAAGTGGCTTTTTTTTGGTTGCCACCACGCCTATCAGACTTGTCTCTGAGTAACGATTTATTTACAAGAGAGCCGCCAGCTAATTTTTCACAATGAAAAGGTGATCCTACATGTAAGGCCATCATTCCTTCCTAAGGTGGCACCAGTTTTTCATGTCAGTGAAGTCATAGTTCTTCCATATTTGTGCTCTTCCCCAGGAAATTGCTCTTCATTGCCTAGACTTAGTCAGAGCCATCAGTCTACCTCATTGCAAAACCGCTTCTATCAGAAAAATGGACTGCCTATTTGTCTTATCTCCCTGCATCCAAGTCCATCATCATTCAATGGATAACGCAAATAATTGTTTGAGCTTGCACTCTAAAAGAAAAAAACTCTTCTTGTGCTTTTCCTTGCCTGCTCCACCAGGTCGGTGGGTGTATTCCAGCACCAAGTCTCTGTGACCCAACTTTGTAAGGCTGCCACCTGGTCCTCTGTTCATACCTTTTCAAATTTTTACCAGGTGAAAGCCCAATTTTCTGCAGATGTAGCTTTTGGCCACAAGATTCTTGCAGTAACTGTGAAGATGGATCTGTTGACCTGTGTTTGTGTTGGGTCTGTTGGCACAGTTCTGTTTGCCTGACCTTCTCATTCTTTGCTTGGGAGGGTCCCAGGGTCTGTGTCTCAGCCTGTGGCCTGTATTGTACAATTAAAAATTTTGATTTGTCTGTAAATTCCATATCTTGGAACCGAACACAGGCCACCCAACCTTCTGTTGCCTGGTTACTCTGCATTGCTTGCTACAAAACAGAGAACTAGCAGGTTATAGTTGGGGCACTCAGGAACATGTCCTCATAAGCTTTGCCAGTGTCCAGTCACTTGAAAGTGTATATATATATATATATATATATATATATATAATACGAGGTCTGTGAATACTCAGCCTGTGTCCTTTACTGTTCTCCCAAGATATGGAATTTACAAGTAGGTCGAAATTCCACTTTAATTTGAAAAGGTTGAGCCTTTTGTAATGCTTACATGTTATCAGCTTTGTGTCCTGACTTGACAGATGGCTTTGAAGTGTGCAGACATCTGTAACCCTTGCCGGACCTGGGAACTGAGCAAGCAGTGGAGTGAGAAAGTGACTGAAGAATTCTTCTACCAAGGTAAGTAAAGCATATTTAAATTGTAATGTGAGAACCAATGTGCTGCAATAAACCCTGTGTATGTAACAAATTTACATGACTTCCTTAAAATCCAAGGAAAAAAACAAACAAACGGGTGAATAAGCACTCATACATAAACACAAAACACTGTCAATACACAAAATGATTAGGAGACAAGTGTGATGTGCTAAACCCACCTCATAAAATCAATAGCTTGCATGCATGTGAATGTGCAAATGCATAAAGTAATCAATAAATGTTATTGCCAAAAACAATTTACATGTATGAGAATAGACAATAACGATCACACTGTGTCTCAAACAGAGTTCTAAAGTGCAATAAACAAATGACATTCAGTTGTAAAGAATCAGGTGACACTTATAACAGGTATCTCACAATCAATCACGCCCTAACTCTACCCAACATGTTTCATCATACATAACATCATTAGGGGCATGGACACAAGTTGAACACCATGCCCCTGATGACATTGCATATAATGAAATGCTTCAAACTGAATTAGGACTGATGTCACCATGTATATTTGGCCATCCTTCCTGAGTTTTCCAGTCAGCATCCTCAGTTTTATATATCTGTTATTACTTCAGATATGTGGTTTAAACCCCTTGTTTTAAAATCATTGGTACTGTTGGTCTTTCACTATTGTGAGTGCTTTGTGTTTTTATTCTCCCTGTATTGAATTCATGTCCCATTACCGGTGGAGATGAGATTGGAAGACCCTTAAGCAGGGTATACAGGCATATTTTTCTTTTTTTTTTCGTTCACCAGAAAAAGACTCAACAGCTCCCCGCATCCATAAAAGCGATGTGGATGCACTATTGTATTCTGACGGCCAATGACTACATGTGCAGATGGAATGCTAGTTTACCAGCAGGACCGTTCAACAGAAGCCGGTCATTAAATCTGCTTCTGTTGAACAGAGAGATGCAAACACGTACCAAAATTAGTCTGGTTACTGCTGGTCCAGCTGAATTTCAATACGTGTATACTCCGCTTTATACCTGACCTGTGAATGGTTGCATTGTTATAGTCTATGTGATCGTGCAGTATATGGACTTTTAGATATATACTGTAATTGTCATTTGATTTCTGTATACTGATTTTAACTAAGGATCACTTTATCTATGCACTTTGAGTTATGATTTGAGATATGCGATTGTTTAGTACAGATGCTGTTTTTTCTACTTCCAGTTATAGGTTGAAAACACTGTTCCTTTTGAAGTGAAATCGAACAGCAAGTTTGTCACCCTGTTGACAGGGTAGACTTAGATGGACACGTAATAATAATTGTTCAAACAAGTGTACTTAAGAGTACATGTGTGTGAAGGGCTGTGTTTGCCCTCCTGGGATGTACAGGTGTTCCATGCATCCATGTGCAGGCAGTCACATTCGTGTCTATTGAGACAAAGCCACTGGTCCCAATTTGATAGCCATACAGATGCTTGTCCCTGAATGCAGAGAGTGTGCGTTTTGAGGATACGCACCTGTATGGCTGTCAAATACGACTCTTGTAAGCACCTGCAGTGTATGTGGTTTGTCCCAGTTCTGTAACTGCCAAATGTAATAGATGGCTTGGCCTGTTTCAGATTAAATGTCATTTTTATTTTGTTCATAGTTGCATTAAAAAAGCCAATGCCCAGTGGACATTTGTAATAATTCCTGAAAGGTTAGACTGCACTATTTTACATATTCAAGTGTAGAGACTTGGATTACTAGAGTATACTGTATATATGTAATTTACTATATTCCTTTTGTCAGCGTTTATTAGCAATACTTTCCTCTGCTCTAGTATTACAAGTCTTCTCTGCTTCCTTTTCCTTGTCACACATTATGTGCACTGAGACATTACTTTAACCAGCATCACCTTTCCTAATTGTACTTGTAATTGCACTATCCTTTTGGCATGACCGTCATATGAATGACCATTATTTGCAAATATGTAAACAGAAGTGTTAACAGAAAAAGCAGCTGAAGAATAGATAAGGGGAGAAGCGAAGAATTGAGTTTACTAGGGTTAACTAAGCATTAATAAGTGGCTAAATAGGAATACGTTTTATTTAAAAAGCCTTTTTTTTATTAGGTGATATCATATGCAGATCAAAGTTCTACATATGAATGGAATAGTAAATGCAATGAAACAATACATTGCACTTATTCAGTGACTCTTGCAGGCTATCTGTAAGTTTTGGGGTTTTTTTTGTATAGTGGTGACTGTATCTTGATAGCTGCTCTTGCTGTGTAATACAAAGAAATTTCCAGCTTTAATTGCTGGTAATAGTGGGGGCAGGGGAGGGGGGAGGAGCAAAAAAAAATACTTTCTAGAAACTTTCAATGCAAGAAAAATATATCATACAAATATCATAAAAATCTTCAACAAATTCCTCTAGTGATCAAACACCATAGAGCGAAATTTTGTAGTGTGTGCTGAAAATGGACTAATTAACATATCTGTTTGTTAGGGGATGTGGAAAGAAAATGCAACTTGGACATCAGTCCGCTGTGTGACAGGAACACATCTAACATAGCCAACATCCAGATCGGTAAGAAGCACCAAGTGTGGTAGCAAGTAACTTTTATACGTTTGTTGTACATGGTTGCAGATCAGTATATTGAAAACCGGATTTGATTATTTTATTATGTAGCTCTGCAAGGTAATTCTTAACACATGAGTAGCATGAACCTCCATATAAATAACTGGGAAAGATCCTTACAGGATCCGAACAATTCTTTGGCTAAAGCAAATTCACAACTTTATGCTAAGCATTACCGTACTCCCAACCTAGCTGGATTCTGTGTAGGAAAATAAGCATTCAACACTGGTGCATTAGCAGCACTAGATTATATATCCACAAGTGTAAATTACTCAAATCCTTTCCCTTGTAGAATTGTAATAACTAAAGGTTAGTGCAAACATTTTTTTCATTAGAACATTGCTAATGCTTGCTTATGAAACTCACATTTTACCCGTTTAGGTGAATGGGCTGCTGTGCCTGCACAGATGTGAACCAGTCCTTACTAAGCGAAAAAAGAGAGAAAAAAAAAAAAAAAGACACATCAACTTCAGTACAATCAGCCTGCCCACAGATGGACCAAAATTCATCCGGTTCCTGCTGAATCAGGCAAATTTTGATCAGTCTATGGCCGGCTGAAGTCTGTAATTTTTATTTCTTTACCCTACGCACCTAAGTAAGAGTTTGTATTTGTTAACAATGTTCTGCACAAAACAAAGTTGGGTAGTAACCTATAGGGGTTTCAGAGGGATATATCAAGTCTGACCAAAACATCAGAAATTAGATTTTTTTCATTAAATTGAACTTTAATCTTAAAGTGATACTAAACCTGAAAGCTTTTTTTTTTATCTTACCGCATTGCTTGCATTAAGGTAAAAAACATTTTTAGTTTCCCTGTGGGAAGAGGAAGAGAGAGGAGAAAAGATCAGCACTGTGCATGGCTGCATCTCTTCTCCCCCCGCTTCCTCTTCACACAGGGACTCGAACAGCAGCAGAAGCCATTGGCTCTTGCTTCTTTCAATCAAATGCGGTAAAGAGGAAGTGGGGGCAGGGTTAAGTCCTGCTGTGTGTGTCTATGAAGCGCGGCTCCGTAGTAACACAGGCCAGGAGTGAGCAAGCAGTGTGTCCCCTAGCAAACGGCTTGGTATGGGGACACACAAAGAAGAGAAGCCAGGATTGCCGGCAGGGGACCTAAGAGGAGGAGGATCGGGCCACTTTATGCAATACCACTGCACAGAGCAGGTGAGTATAGCATGTTTGTTATTTTAATTAAAAAAAAATCTGCTTTTAGTAACACTTTAAATAATTTGTCCTCTTTTTCTTTGTTTGTCTCTTCTTTGTTGCGAAGGTTTTATCACCTATTTGGTGGAACCATTGTTTGTGGAGTGGGCCAGGTTCAGTAACACCAGGCTGTCACAGACCATGCTAGGCCACGTCGGACTAAATAAAGCCAGCTGGAAAGGAATGCTGCAGGAACGGTCTAGTAGTGAAGAAGCTGATCCTGCTTTTGATGACTGACCTATTTTTTGTTTTACCTCAGGAAGATTGTGCACCATGAACCTAGAGCATGTATTACAGCAGGTTTTTTTTTTTGGTGGATTTATCAGAGAGACGAAAAAGGTCTTGGTGAGAAAGCAATTGAGCCTGATTGCCAAGGTTACACATTAAGAAAAATAATGCCAGCATTATTTATCTCCAAGTTTTCCTTAAACGTTCTTCTTTTTTCTTTTGGCCCCATCCACAAGAAGACCTGAACATAGAGCAATATGCACATACCTCAGTTGGCTTTTGTATCAAAGCTTGAATATGCAAAGCACAGCAATGACTGAAAACTGCAGGAAGATTCTTATTTATGTGCCACAGGTCCCTACACTCCCCCCCCCTCCCCCCCATTTTGTTTGGTTTTTTTTTTTTAGGTGACGTTAAAGGGAAACGGTTTTCTTAGAAATGGAAGAAACCTTTTGTCAGCACCTGGTGGGATCTTGCCAGAATCTAATGACTGATCTTCTACCTTCCACTTTGTGTTGAATTCTCACTTGGAAATGTGAAGTGCCCGCACTGCTTTGCTGCCTTGGCAAGGAATGCTGTTTACAAATACACTGAAAATACTGACTGAAAACTTGCCTTGACGCATGGTTGTGAAGGAACCACTAACTGGATTTTTTTTGTATGATTATTTAAGAGAACAAATTTGGACTGCAATCCTCCCTTACCCTTGACACACCACCAACTTCATTTTCTTTACCACAGACCTCTACACCCCCATTTTGCAATATTTCTGTAAGCATACAGCCAGGCTTCAATCCAGAAGTAGTTGGAATTCAGCTTTTTTTGTTCTTTTTTACTAATTTAACAGCAGAGTACTAGGAGTGTATCCTGGCTGTTTGGCAGAGCTACAGTGAAATGCATTGCATGCTATTTTTTCCTTTTTCCACTACTGAACACTTGAACTGCACATAAAAGGTGAAATTAATGTAAACACCATATTCAGCTCAGGGTATTTGCCAATCTGAAATAAAGAGGGAAGGGAATTGTCGTTCGGACAAGGGTACAAATGCCTTTTTTGCTGCAGTGTGCCTGTGTGTTTGAGTGCTGAGAGGGGCTGTATTGTGTGTGTATGCGTAGTGTGCATGCGATCAGTTTTTTGTGTCTCTCCCATGGGTTTGGAATCTTCCTCACAAAAGCTTTTGCCTGAACGCCAACTCCCATAATTTTTAAAAGTCTTATAGATGGTGGGAGTTGTAGGTTCAGCTCAGCTGCTGTGTTGACTCTGCCACCCGTGGTCTACGTTTTGGTTCAGTCATCATCGCTGTACGATGAGTGAACTGTAACAAATTGCTAAAATGCCTTAATCTATGCACAAAGCTAAGTGACCAAACGTGGTGTTTTTTTTTTTTTTTTTTTCTTCTTCTTCTTCTTCTTGATATGTGCATTTATTTTTGTTCCTTGTTTTGTTTTTGTTTTGATTTTTTTTTGTTCACTGTTCTGTTTTTTATTTTTTTTATTTTTTGGGTTTTTTTTTAAGTGAAATACAGTTCTGTGGGATTTTGTTGTACGATGAGTTGTTTTTAGGACAAGTGGCAGGACTAATTTTAAACTTAAAACATTCCATTATTTTGTAATTTGTTTTAAGTATAGTGAGCACAACTGTTATGTAGATTTAAAAAGGAAAAAAATGGTGCTTTTTTAGCTAATTTGTAATTTCTTTGGTATTGCTGTTAAAGACTGTTTATCATCTGTTTACAGTTTGTTGCAACAGACATTTTTTGGGGGGGGGTGGGGGGAGACTGCTTGAGCGTGAAGCCATTTGTACACGGCTTTGCCACACTCATTTTAATACGTGCCTGTTGCTGTTCGGTTTTGATGAATAAAAATAAATTGAAAAAAATCAATTTTGTGTTGCTTTTGAAAATGAATGGCTGCTATTCCTTAGATATGAGAGTGCATTAAAGCGGAGCTATACTCACCTCGTCTCCAGCGGTTTTAAGTGCTAGGTGGGGATTACGTCACTCCCGTGCATGCGCAGGTGTTCAGTCAGATTCAGCATTGCCGAATTTGTACAATAAGCTGCACATGCTTGGTCTTACTGTACAAAGGCAAACAGGCAGGTAAGTAACTTTAATTTAGAAGAGACAAAGCATGTCTCTTCTGCATTACAATTCCTGCCTGCTCACCCATGTTTAACTTTGATCTAAAGTTCCACTTTAATATTGAAAGACCATAAAGTTTGCTGCCCACCAGATCAACTTTTGGCAAAAAGTACACTTTTGGGTTCTGCAAACAGATTCACAAACTGAAAAAAGAAGAAAGAAATTAGCTAAGACACAAATAAACTATATACAGCAACAAGCACTATACCCAAATACACAGTACTCAAGAATGATCTTCAAAAAAGTACAGCGCTAAAAATTATTCAATAGTTCTACATCTACCAATAGAAAGTAAAATTATAAATATATACATATAATTTATATACGTTATTTTACATGATATTTATTCTTATCTTTTAAATTGTGCAAGTAAAACTACTTTAAATGGTATAAGTATGGGTATTTATTTTTTTTTTCTTTTCCCCCTTATACTTACCTAGGTGGATGAAGCATCGGTCCGATGCTTCATCTGTCCCCCGCCGGCTCTAAGGGTGAGAACTCAGCGATCACATGATAGCTGGTTGCTGAGTTCTCCTCTCCGCTCTGATCAGAGTGTGGGACTGTCAGTCACCGCTGTCTTCTCAGATCTCACTGGAGCACTGGGCTGTGGAAGGGGTGGGAGCCGCTTGCTCAGGCTCTCAGCACTTCGCTGAGAGACTGAGCTAGGTGCCGCTCTAGATTCTGGGGTGGATCCAAACTGTAAAGTCGGCATCTTTCCCCAGAGTGACGTCAGCTGACTGTCAGCTGAAAACGGATCACAGGAGTGCAGAATAAACTGCACTTCTGTAATCCACATGAAAAGTACGTCCGAAAGAGCTTTGGCTGTACTTCTCCTTTTAATTGTGGTGGGACTGGATCACATTTTATACATATACGTGTATAATTTATTATTTCACTTTTTATTGGTAGATATAGAACTATTGAATAATTTTTAGCGATACACTTTTTTGAATATAAGGAAGATTTCCAAGCAAGGGTGATGTCATGTTTGCATTAAAGCAGAATACCTATATAAACAAAAGGCCTATTAAAAGGTAACTTAAAACCAGCTACAAAAAGCAACTGACAGGCTGGTTGTACCAAAGTTGATAAATTGACTTGAATACAACCAGCCTGACCAAAGTTGGATCTAAATTCAGCCTGTTTCTGCTGAACCAGATGCATTTTGATCCATCTATGGCCAGCTTTAGTGGAAAAATAGTGTAGGTAGATCCTAAAAATTTACTTGTATTTTCTTGCTTTTGACCCTTCATATATTATTGAAATAATTTCATCTGTTTGATAAGTGCGAAAAAAAAAAAAAAACCTGTTGATCTGGCCTCAAATCTTCTGAGCTGATGACTGTGTTTTCTGCTTGTACTGCACAGGTACATTGCCCCTAGCTATCTCTGTGGACTACATAACACCATATAAAAGGAGAGGTAATCTCTACTACTATTCCCATTGACCTATTGATGTTGCACAGTGAGCATTGTCACCTTGGGTAAAGAACATGAAGGCCTTTAGAAAAATAAACGGAAAAATTGGGAGGAAAAAATTAAAACCGTTTTTTTCCCCCCAAATGCTTCTATAAGGAAAAAGGGTGGGATACGTTGTGTGTGTGTGTGTGTGTGTATATATATATATATATATATATATATATATATATATATATATATATGTATACACACACAGTGAAGGAAATAAGTATTTGATTCCCTGCTGATTTTGAATGTTTGCCCACTCACAAAGAAATGATCAGTCTAAAAATCTTATTTATTTAGGACTTATTAAAATTATTTAGGACTTGGTGGCAAATCCCTTGTTGGCAATCAAAGAGGTTAGACGTTTCCTGTAGTTGGTCACCAGGTTTGCACACATCTCAGGAGGAATTTTAGCCCACTTCTCTTGGCAGATCCTCTCCAAATCATTAAGGTTTGGTGGCTGACGTTTGGCAACTCGAACTTTCAGCTCCCTCCACAGATTTTCAGTCGGATTAAGGTCTGGAGACTGGCTAGGCCACTCCAGGACCTTAATGTGCTTCTTCTTGAGCCACTCCTTTGTTGCCTTGGCCATGTGTTTTGGGTTATTGTCATGCTGGAATACCCATCCATGACCCATTTTCAATGGCCTGGCTGAGGGAAGAAGGTTCTCTCCCAAGATTTGACGGTACATTGCCCCACCCATCGTCCCTTTGATGCAATGCAGTTGTCCTGTCCCCTTAGCAGAAAAAAACACCCCCAAAGCAGAATGTTTCCACCATCATGTTTGACAGTTGGGATGGTGTTCTTGGGGTTACAGGCAGCATTCCTCCTCCTGCAAACACAGCGAGTTGAGTTGATGCCAAAGAGCTTGATTTTGGTCTCATCTGACCATAACACTTTCAACTAGTCCTCTACATCATTCAGATGTTCAGTGCCAAACTTCAGACGGGCCTGGACATGTACTTTCTTGAGCAGAGGGACCTTGCGGGAACTGCAAGATTTCAATCCTTGTCGGCGTAGTGTGTTGCCAATTGTTTTCTTGGTGACTGTGGTCCCAGCTGCCTGGAGATCGACAAGATCCTCATGTGTAGTTCTGGGATGATTCCTCACTGTTCTCATAATCATTGACACTCCACAAGGTGAGATCTTGCATGGTGCACCAAACCTAGGGAGACTGACAGTTGTTTTGTTCCATTTGCAAATTATTGCACCAGCTGTTGTCACCTTCTCACCAAGCTGCTTGGCGATAATTTTGCAGCCCAGTCCAGCCTTGTGTAGGTCTACAATCTTGTCCCTGACATCCTTGGACAGTTCTTTGGTCTTTGTCATGGTGGAGAGTTTGGAATCTGATTGTTTGATTGCTCCTGTGGACAGGTGTCTTTTATACAGGTAAGAAAATTGGATTAGCAGCACTCCCTTTAAGAGATTGCTTCTAATCTCAGCTTGTTTACCTGTATGAAAGACACCTGGTAGCAAGAAATCCTGCTGAATGCTAGAGGATCAAATACTTATTTCCCTCATGAACATGCAAAACAGCGCAAAATTTGTTGGACATGCATTTCTTTTGAATTTTTTGTTGCTATTCTGTCTCTGTGTTACAATACACCTACCATTCGATTTTTATCATTTCATTGCGAGTGGGCAAACATTCAAAACCAGCAGGGGATCAAATACTTATTTCCTTCACTGTATATATAATATTTTGACATGGTAGTTAAACTATTTAACATCAAGACCTTATTTAAAAATTTATGAGATTATGTAAAATCCAAATTATTGCAAGTTCTCTCAGCTGAAGACAAGCAAATCCTGGAATACAATTAAGTAACACTGTACTTCTCAATGCAGTTCTCAAACAGAAATATGCATATCAGCCACTAGGGGGCACTGCAGGGGAAAGGTTCTAGTTTAGTTTGGTTGTAGGCTCCATCCTGTACAGTTGGCTGATTCTTGGGATACAGTAGATGATAGGACAGAAACTATCAGGCCTTAATTGATAAGTAAGAAGGTGAATTTGTCTGACAAATTAGTTTATCTTTATAACATTTAAATGATTCCTATTAACCACTTCAACACCAGATTATTTTACACCATTCCTGCCTAGGCCAATTTTCAGCTTTCACTACTCTAAAACTTTGACAATTACTCAGTCATTCATCACTGCACCCAAACAAAATTTTTATCCTTCTTTAACCGCCTTCCGCCCGCCATATAGTAAAATGACAGACACAAGGCGGTTCTTTTGTTCTGGGAGGACGTCATATGACGTCCTCCCATTCTAACCGCACATGTGGATCACCAATCGACAGAGCCGAAGATGTCGGCTCGGTCATGTGATCAGCTGTGTCCAATCACAGCTGATTGCATGTAAATAGGGAAATGCCGGTTATCAGCATTTCTCTCCTCACGAGCTGTCATGCTGACAGCTCGAGGAGAGGAGAGACGGTAATCGGCATCCCTCAGAGGGGACATGTTCACTGATCAGCAGAGCACTGATTATCTGTGTAGTCCCAGCAGTGCCACCTGTCAGTGCTCATCCATGCCACCTGCCAGTGCCACATCAATGCCACATTTCAGTGCCTACCAGTGCACATCAATGCCACATATCAGTGCCCATCTGAGCTGCCTTTCAGTGTCACCCATCAGTGCCACCTAGCAATGCCTATCAGTGCCGCCTATCAGTGTGCATCAGTGCCGTCTATCAGTGCCCGTCAGTGCTGCCTATCAGTGCCGCCTAACAGTGCCAGTCAGTGCCATATATGAGTGCTGCCTTTCAGTGCCCATCAGTGATGCCTGTCAATGCCCATCAGTGCCACCTATCAGTGTCCATCAGTGCAGCCTCATTAGCGCACATCAGTGAAGGAGAAAAATCACTCATTTACAAAATGTTATAACAAAAGCTAAGAAAAAACTTTTTTTTTCAACATTTTCAGTGGTTTTTGGTTTAAGAAAAAATAAAAAACCCAGAGGTGGTTAAATACCACCAAAAGCTCTATCTGTCACAAAAAAAATGATGATAATTTCATATGGGTACAGTGTTGCATGACTGCGCAATTGTCATTCAAAGTGCAACAGCGCTGAAAGCTGGAAATTGGCCTGGGCAGGAAGGGGGTATAAGTGCCCTGTAGGCTAGTGGTTAGGATAGAGCATTCTTTTGGTGGTATTTAACCACCACTGGGTTATATTTTTTGCAATATAAGCAAAAAAAAAAGACCTAAAAGTTTGAAAGAAATGCATCTTTTTTTTCTAATACAAAATTTTGCAAATAAGTAATTTTTCTTTGTACATTTAGGGCAGAATTTATACTGCTACATTGCTTTAGTAAAACTAACCCAAATCAGTTTCTATTCTTTAGTCTGCGTGAAAGTTATAGAGTCTACAAGCTGTGAATACTAACATTGAAAATTGATCAGTCCTTTGTACTGTCCTGGTATTTAGGGTCTCAAGATGTGAGTTAGGCAGTCAGTACATAATGCCCTCCAAATTACCCCTTTTTGGAAAGTAGACAGTTCAAGGTATTTAGTAAGAGGCATTATTCTTTGTGAAAAAAGAAAAAACATTTTAATTTTCAAAATTGTCATATTGTTATTTCTCACACACGGCATAGGCATGCTTGCAATTACACCATAAAACACACTCTCCTGAGTATGGTGATACCACATGTTGAGATTTATTTACAGCCTAGCCAGATAGAGAGGCCCAACATCTAAAGAGCACCTTCAGGAGTCCTAGGAACACATCTGATTTCCTAACTCCCTATCACATTTTTTGAAAGCCCTGGAGCACTAAGACAATGAAATTACCCATAAAATGACCCCATTTGGAAAGCAAACACCCTAACATATTTTCTAAAAGGCATGAGTCTTTTGAACATGTCATTTTTTTTCCACAAGTTTTTGGAAAAAGTGGAAAAAAATTAGCACAAAGTTGTCAATCTATAAGATATTTTAACAAACAGCATGGACATACATAGAATTACACCCCAAAATACATTTTGCTACTCCCTCCCAAATATGGGGATACCACATGTACAAGGCCTTTCCAATAACTGAACAGATTATATACCCAACATTGCAACCTGTGTAACATAAAAATCAACCAACCCTGTACAGACAACAATGTACTGTAATGGTCATGTCTGTAAGAGTGGTCAGTGAATATAGCAGTGTAGCTTCACCTACAGCGGTTCCTGTTCCTAAAAGCCAAGCAAGCCTAACCTACTGGTACATGGCTGCCCCCATAGCACAATGCTATGTTCACTGGCCAGGAAGTATAGGAGCCTGAACAAAGGGTATATAAAAAATTACCAGTGGTTTTAGTAGAGCAGTTGTCCACAGAGACAAGGTTAGCAACAGCCAAAGGAATCTTCCAGGCAGCAGGCAGGAATGTGGTCCATAAACATGCCAGGGTCAGTACAGGCAGCAAGCAGAGATACGGTTAGCAGAGCCAAAGTATTGGTCCAGACAGGAACATCAGGCTTAGGGCCTCAGTCAGGTAAGACCTAGGCACAGGGATAGAGGCTTCTTCCTACCTAAATCTCTTCGAATCTTCTCGACTCCAGAGCCTGATCTGGGAATTACAAAACCAGGAGAAAACCAAAATCTGGTTTTCTGTACTGGGAACACTGCTCAAGCCTCTTACATATGTGAAACCCCTGTGTTGTCTTGTATCCCACTACTGCAGTAACAGGGCAAACGACCAGTCTAAGCAGCAGGCAATAAACATGGTCGATTGACGGGCCGACATCCATTCAGGTGGGAGGCAGAAACGTTGTTGATAAAGGTGGCAGGCAGAGGTACAGTTGACAGGCTAGGGTGAATTACGATGGAAGGCAGAGGCATGGTTAGTTGAGACAGCAGGAAATTGGTCAACACAGATATTAGAAAAGTGGAAATGGCAGTCTGTTAAAAATAAGGGGAAATAATATTTTAGTGATGTGTGAAAATGCCAGAAGCAGTCTCCACTGCATAGCCCAGTTTGGAGGGTTATTGGGGTCAACTATGCCTCTGCTGCATACCCAACTTTTTTTCTTTTCTTTTTTTTTTTTGGGGGGGGGGGGTCTTCGGCCTGCTTCTGTTGGTGGAATGTTCATGGGAAAATGCTGTGATACTGTGAACAGACTTCATAAGCGCCAAAATGTTTTCTGGTGGAGATCCTTGCTGATGTAGATAAGGGAAGTGACAATATTTTCTATAAATTTGAGAAAGATACTGTCAGTGTCTTTACTGAATAAATGTGATGGATGGGGTGGGTGGACCAGTAAGCATGTCCTTCAAATTATTTTTGGGCCTCATGATTAACATGGGGCTTACAAAAAAAAAAATGAACTTCACTGTGAGACGTCTCCATTCCAACAGATGGGCATAGGATGAATTGGGGTTGTTTTCAATATATTGCTGGGCAGAAAAGATTGGTCTGGTCCACAAAGAATTAAACTGTCAGTTTTATTTATTTTTTTAATTATTTTTCCCCATTTATGAAAAATTTTCAGTATTGGTCTGAATACCTGGCTGTGCGGTGAAAGGGGGGCGGGGGGAATACTTGCTGATCCAAAGTGGGAGGGTGGTCATGGTGGGTTCGCAAGTGCGTCTGGGAGGTTTTTATGAGCCCTAATTCTTGGGGTCTGACATGATACCCCAGTACTAGTACTGGGCCTTTCATCAAGGGGTCTAGTGCCATTGGTGTTTCCTGATTCACCATTGGGGAGTATAGCACTGCTGGTGGCTGACTGGTTTTCAGAGTGCCTTCTTATTTTGGAGGGACTCGTTCCTCCTCTAATTTGGTCACTGAGCATATACTTTCAACAGGTTCATACTCCGAATTGGAATTGGATGGTGAGAACTCCCCGCTGCTTTCATCCGTTATACTGAGGATTTGAAATGCCTCCCCACTAGGGTAACATTTTTTGGACATGGCTGGCTCTGGTGATGCTGGAACAGGTAGACTGCTGATGGCTGCTGTGTGTCGGGTACACTGCTGATGGCACCACTGATGAGTGATGTGCGACGTGGACTGGTGATAGCGGCATTAATGGGCGATGTGTGACGGGTACACTACAAATGGGTGACAAGTACTATTTATTCTGGGGTGGTGTGCACAGTAATAACAGATCCATAACTCATGTTTCCCGGACTTGCTTCTCCTCACACAGGATCTCTGTGTGAGAAGAAGAGGCTGGTACAAATGAGTTACTGGTCCTTGTTTACATTTGTGATCAGCTGTGATTGGACACAGCAATCACGTGGTAAAGAGCCGCTGTCATTAGATCTTACCATGATCGGTAATGCACTGTAACCAAGGGACACAGCGCACCACTGATCACTGATAGGACATCCTCCCAGAACGAGAGTGGTCCCCCTTGGCCTATATCAGGATGACTGTTAATATTCTCCACCATCACAGTATAAACCTATAATCTGATCAGTAATTTTTTTTTTCTTTTCCTCTCCTCAGTAGAATGATGAAACCAACATCTAGAGTTTAGGAACATTTTCACACTGCAATTTCTGCTAAGAGCGAAGCTGCAATTTGCAAATATTGTGAATATTCTTGTCCAAATGCTGCAAGGATAGCAAAACAAATCCTTGCATGGCAGAGGTACCCTAACGACATTAAAAATACTTTATGGAATGAAATGGTGAGGTCCATAATAAAAGTGCAGGTAGCTTTTCCCTTTAGAGTTCTCATTCCAGAAACACACTTTCTGCCGTTTCTGGATTACCACAAATTGTTTCTTCACCTGCAGCATCTTCAAGGAAGGAAGTGTTCCAAACCACGGCCTCACAAAAATATGCAATATCTACATTTATAGATAAAATGGCACCTGAAAATCAGGAGAACATTGATCAAGCTATTGCAAGAGCAATATCTGCTTCTGGATCAGCATTGTCAATAACTGAAAATACATTTTGGCAGGAAGCTTATAAATTATTATGAGGGAAAGGGGGGTGGTTACCTGTTCTCATGTATAGTTGAAATGTTCTTAACATAAAAGTTCTTGTTATTTCATTTGAAATTGCAAAAATGCATTTTTAAAAAAGCAAGTTTAGTTTATTTACTGAATAAGCTGTACTTTTATTGCAATCATAATACATTTCTATACACTGCATTTCACAGTCCGAGTGTAACAAAATGACTTTCAATTTGTAAAACTACACCACACTGAATTTTCTTTTAAATCTTTCCATAATTTCCTTTTTTTATGGAGAAAAATTTTCTTTTTTTTCCCCATGGTTTCAAAATTTCTAGAAATTTTTACATCTCTATGTTGATGCTGAAAAACCCAAGCAGTGCACCCTGTCTGGAAAGGGTGGACCCCGATCTTTGAAACCACAAGCTTGCATGATGGTTTGTCTGAGCCACCTAGGAATGGTGAACAAGAAGCTAGGATGAAAAAAAGGGAACCTGTCTGAAAGAGGCAGCAGCTGAGAGACAGCCCAACCCACATCCAAACAAGGGAAGGTCATTTCCTTTGGGTGAACTGGAGCCAGACCCCAAGAAGTGAAGAAAGGCCTTCCAAGTCTGATGATAAAATATAGACTTTCTAGACATCACAGACCTGGATTTTAACAGCTGTGACGTTAAAGTCGGGCCTGAGACAGAAGATCTTGATGATATGGCAGTGCCCACAGAGCAACAGCCAGGAGTCTTACCAAGTCAGTGTACCATATCAACCTGAGCCAGTCCAAAGCAATGGGGATAACTGGAATGCCCTCCACCTTGATCCTGCAAAGCAGACAAGAAAGAAGTTTTAGTGCCACTTCCAACTGGAACATGGTGTGGGAAACCCATAATCCATT